TTGATTATACATAGTCAACTTTTTGCATCATCATATATGATATGCATGTTGGTGCGTACATCTTTTTGTGTATCATAGCTAGAAAATATGATGTGGGAATTATTTTGCTTACAATGATTCTTATACTAAACGTTAGGGAATAGAGTTCGAATATAATAAAGAGAATGTTTAATTGTACTGAAGGTCCTCAAAGTATAAAATTTATCTCATTTTAGTCTCCAATGTATTAATTGTATCATTTTAGTCCCTGAAGTATTGAATATATTTCTATGTAGTCCCTCAAATAAAGAACGTCCAAATTATTAACAATTTTTTATCATAAACTTGTCACGTGATACCTAAATATAAGTGAAATAATTTAGGCAACTCTTAACCAAACTTTGGGTAGCTCTTGACTAAAACTTGGGTAGCTCTTGACAAAAAATATGTGATATGGATAGCTATTAACCAAAATTTGGATAACTCGTGATCAAAACCTGTATAACTTGGGTAGCTCTTTAAACAAAATTTGGTCAAGAGTTATCTAAATTATTTTTTTGCTCATATTTAGGTATCACGTGATAAGTTTATGATAAAAAAATCATTAATAATTTGAATGATGTCTACTTGAGCGACTATACAAAAACATATTTAATTTTTTAGGGACCAAATGATGTAACTAAAATATTGGAGATGAAAATGAGACAAACCTCATACTTTGGGGAATTACAGTGCAATTAACCCTAAAGAGAAAAAACAAAGCACAAACATATATACGTAGGTGGGTTGGAAAATTGTATTTTCATTTGATAATGAAAACCCTAATATACGTTACATCAATGTAATAGTATCTAAGAATTGTAAACATGGAATAAAAATCAACTATATTTACGGTGTCAAAAAATAATTACACAAAGGAAAAACGTAGCATCTGGAAAGACAGTAAAATAACTTACCTGCATAAAGAGCTCGGAGGGGATTCCCCTCGGGATTGTGAAAATGAAGAGACACCTTGTGATACATGGAAGAGCTGTTGAAGTTCTGAGCAGCTACTTTCATGGCTGTTTTCACTTCTTTGCCGATACGGGTACTATCGTCGATGATTGCCCCGATGCCCAGGGTTTCGGTCTGTGCAGATGTGAAGGTCCAATGGTTGGAGAAGATGAGTAGAAGATAAATGAGTACAGTTGGGAAGAAAAATGTTGGTTTTGCAACTGTATTACCAAAAGTGACTAGGAAAGGCATTTTGGTTCTAAGCATAATCCCGACGATGATGGAACACTTTTTTCTCTTTATGGTATTTATAGGATCAAGAAAATCAATGTAGTTGTTGGCACATACATGCATACTTATATTCACAAGGCATGTACAAAAGCCATGCATGCATGAACCTGCTTAGAAATTTACATAGATATGTTAAATCTAGTCAATTATATAAAATATTATTTTACTTTGAACCATGTAATCAAACACGTCGACTTGAGACTTATGTACAATCAATATATACTAATAGGCTTGTCGCAAAAATTCTAAGAATATGACTTGTGTGATATAACTACCATTTTATAATTGGGAAATTCTTTTTTACTTTTTATGAAATTCCTCGAGGTCGAGGTTATCAAGAGATAGTTGACATATTTTTGTATGTGTTTATCTTATTTTTGGGAGGGGTCTATGATAGTTAGCATATTGTTCATCTAGTTGTAACTCTTTTGTGACCGATGTCAAGCGTGGAGAGCAAGACTTGGCAAGACCTCTTATGTTGTAACAACAGTGAGGAAAATTACACGATATTAATAAGAGATTATAAGAAATAAGCACCTGAAAACCAACTCGATCCAAACAAAATTAAAACTTCTAGAAAAAAGTCAATCATATGACTTTTGAGGATCACGAGTGTTTGTTATAGTACGTGGCATGGTTGTCGATACATTACCATTTTTTTTTTTTTCGGGTATTGTAGTCAAGTCCACATTTGAAAGGGGAGGAAAGTGAATGCAATGAAGAGAAATTTACTTGGTCCACTGTGATGCATTTGTCTAAGTTTCAGATAGCTACACAAATTTTTAACAACCAACTCGATGCTGATTTTCCAGTCCTACAACTAAATGAATAAAATGGATTGCGACTTGAATGACTTTTACAGACCCAAAGAAGACTTGCCGCCCATCTAATAATGTTTTTTAAGTAATATTTATTTCGCATCTTTGGTTTTTTTTTTTTTTTTTCGTTTTTCTTGTTGAAAATTACTACGTTGCTCTACCCTTGATCGTATGCATAACCATTTATATGTATACAATATAAATGTATCATTTACATATTAAGATGTATCAATATCATTCTTGTAAAATAATAATTAAATATACTTTTATTATTTAAAAAATTATGTACAAAAATATTTTCAATCGATACATTAGTTCCACCTTTCCGGTCAAAATAAAGGATTTGGTCTGATTTCTAGTTCAAGTTTCTACTTTTACTATAATTTTTGTGGTCATGAATGGCTTCCTATAGGTAGTTTTCAAAAGTCTTTTTTTCCATGTAATTTCTTGATGTAGCTCTTTTAATAAACAATATTTTTAAGTGTTTACCACATCATGGGAGATACTGACCATGAGGGAAAAAAAAAGGCACAAGACACCTTTCCTTAACAAGAAAGCAAAATAACATACAACAAAAAAAAAAACTCAACCAAACAGTCAGCTTCAGGAGCATCCAGCCTCTAGCAGCAACAAAACAGAACAAAACTCCTTCGAGAAAAAAAATAATCCCTGACCATCACAAAAGCATCTCCAAAAAAGATAATACTGGAACAATTTATCCCGGCCTAAAACCCATTAACCCATATCATCAAACACCATAGCCCTTTGCTTTCTTGGCACAGGCAAACCCTTTGAATCACCCAGCAAAGCCAGCTTCACCTCACAAGGTAACTGCACATCCCCAGAAAAATCACAAGATCTTCTGCACTTCACTGCATCATTAGCTAACCTGTCGGAGCAACCATGATAGATGCAGAACAATTCAACTTTACTCGGGCAGACCAATAGTTTTTTTCCCAACCACCACTGCCACTTGAGTCGAAGGCCGAAATACTCTCAAATTCAACTTTATGTTGCCACTGCCTAACTAGCATAGAGGTTGAACACTGTCAGAAATATTTTTGACTATATATCATTTAAAATGATACTTCACCCAAATCATTTAAATCATGAACCAGAGAAAACATATATCCAAATGCAATCAAGGAACACACAGCAGAAGGAATCCACCATCTTAATCAACAACAAATATTGCCCAAACAAATGCCAAATGAAGTGACAAGACCACATATGATGATATCAAATTTAAAACAACAATCCAAAACTCTTCTAAGTAAAATAGCAGTAGTCAACGGCCAGTCAAATGAACTTGCCATCCAAAGAGAAGTAAAATTACTGTAACACTATAGCCTCTCTAAAGATGTGGCTTATCTGAAATTCCACACCCCTTAACAAATTCTTAATCTTCCCCAATGTATACAGAAAAATAAGCCCTATATATTAATATTTGAATTAAACTATGACATATATATTAATATTTCAATCAAAAAACCCAAACTTCGCAATTTTCTTGAAATAAATGTAACTGACATATTTTTCTTTTTGAGTTCCATGCGTAAAACAATGATACCATCCTTACAACTCGTTTTGGGTTGGATGACTGCAGTCATAGAGGCAGAGGATTCTTTCATTGGTGTTAGGGATTTCTTTGGCAAGCATTGGAAGGAATCTGATGCAAAGAGTACCCAAGAATTTTTGAAAATGTGTCTACAGCTGGAAAGTCCTATCCCCATCTCGCTTGCCAAACAAATCTTCCCATGGTGAGGTTGAAAATTCTAGGAATCAGAAAGATAGGTTTTCAGGGGTTGAGGGATTTGTTACTACATCACAAAGACACAATGCACCCCCCCCCCCCCCAAGAAAAAAAATGAACCAGATGCACCCCCTCCCAAGCGAACCTAGATTTGAACTAAAGGAGTATAGATCTGCACAAATAAAATAGGGATCTACAAAAATAAACCCTAAATTTGAAACAAAAATCATTAGATCTGAAGAAAAAAAAAATCAAAGTGGAGATGCCAGGAGAGAGAGAGCTTACAGCTTCGCTGGAGAGATTACAACTTCACCGGAGACACAACGGAGGCGACGATCAGTGAGCAGAAGAGACGAAACATTGAGCAGAAGCGACGACCAGCGATCAGACCACTATGGAGAAGTCATGCCCTTTTATACTGTAAGGAAACAAAATGAATGTTTTGTTGTTAAGAGGGTTTGAAGCCGAGACCTCATTAATTGGGTGAGAAGCTTTTCGCGATGATTTGTTTTTTGGATGTTTTCAAATTTTGTCATTATTTTTAAAACATAGCAGTAAGAAAAAAAAATTAATAACATTCACCAAACATTTTTTTTTATTATTTTTTCCGAAAAAATGAAAACAAAAACAGAAAAAAACCGAAAACTTTGAGTTACCAAACACTACCTTAATTAGAGTAGTGAATTGTAAATGAATAAGATTACATCACAAATTTTCCAATAGCACTGGGCTAGATGGCATTTCCAACTTAGCATTTGGCTTCATGGAATTGAGTACTTAAGAGATAACACTAGAGAAAATAATCAAAATATATATATATATATATATATATATATATATATATATATATATATATTAAATATAGTAGTGATAAATCTCTGATTTCAGTTCCATTCTTTGTCAATTGAATCTCTTATGTTTCAATTTTATTAAATATAGTAGTGATAATTCGTTAATTAATTAAAATTTATCCCAGTCACATGACACTCACGTGAGCGTCTGGGATAATACAGAAAGAAAAACAAAACCCGTAGGTCGTAGCCCTCTGATGATACATAAGAAGTGTTTAGAAAAATTGTTCAATTCCAATACCAAGCTCCTATTTTCCTGCTAACAGCTTCAATTTGTTTGGAACATTATAAATAAGAAGTTCATGGGATGATTCCATGTGCAAAGTGATCGGAACATGCAGTTTTGGAATTCATATGAGAAAGGTTGTGTTCACACTGACGGTCGTTTGCAAGATTCAGAGTCTTGTAGGAGAATTCTTGTCCAGTACGGACCAATGCAAGAGAAAACAGACCGAGACAGCCTCCAGATCACCAAGACAAACAAACTGGATCCCCCCAAAAGGGCCTAAAATCAAATACAACTGCGATGGGACTTTCAGTAACAAGATGAGCACAACTCCAGTGGTCATTGTTGCTAGGAACAAAGAGGGCCAGCTTTTGGAGGGCAGAGCAACCACCATTCCGATAGTTTCTAGTTTGTATTTTGAAGCGGCTGTAGTGAGGGAAACTTGCTTAACAGCAACTACTCTACAAACGGAGAGAGCCAGCATTGAAAGTGACAATGAGGAAATCATCTAGCTGAGTTCCAATTTTGGAGTCACTCTATGGCATATTGCAACTTTCATCACTGACATTAGAACCATAGCCAAAAATTTGTCTTTACAGTTTACCCATGTATCTAGAACCTTTAAAGAGGCTTGGGTCTTCCAAGCTTCTTTGAGCTCCTAGTCTCCGTGGGTTTGTTATGATTTGGAGAAGAGAAGACTAAGGGAGAGAAATGGGGTTTGGGGAAGAGTAGCTTCTGGGAGAAGCCTTTAAATAAAAGAAGGCTTCTTGGAGAAGCCTTGGAAGGATTGTTTCTAAGAGAAGCCTCGAAGCAAATGAAGGGAGAAATGAGATGGGAGAGACTAAAGAACTCTATTTGTAGGCAAAGACTCAGCAGAAGGGATGCCAAAAAATGCAAAAAATATCCAGTGTCAGTAGATTCAACAGAGTCCCTGAAGATGGAAATACGCCACAGAGAACAAGAAAACTCTTGCTCACTCAAGTAAAGAAGAAGCTCATGCCCCCAACCCCCTCCTCTAGCAAACAGTTGAAGACTTGGGGTATGGGGGGCAAATGATAAGCCCAAAATCAACTAAGTCAGGCTCAATGAATCAAGTAAGCCCAAGTCAATTAAAAGCCAACCCGAGTTTACTTTATCGATCCGACCCAGTCCAAGATCCAAAGAGACCGAGAACATAGGAGCACGTGGGAGAGATAGAATATCGAGATATGCATTCATGGTGATCAAATTCTACCTTAATTGTACTTACCAAAAGAGTAGTGTCCTCTTCTTTACGTCACCGTCTCACCAAACCTATATATTATAAACTCTCTCCACATGGAGAGACACTCTACAACATCTCTCCCAACACATTACACCTTGACCTTTGTCTCTCTACACCTCCCTACACACTAAGTTTCTCTCTCCTTCTCGGAGTATACCCTCCCAGTTACTTTATTCATCAATTATGACCTCCGGCCACCGTTGTCATTTCTCGAGAGTGGAGTAGATCGCCTGAACCAAATCACTATATATTTGCTCGTTTGTTTATATTTACTATTTTACAATTAATTGTCTTATTTATTGTTCATTAATTACATCTTTTCGCATACTCAACTGTTGATCTTGCACGAGACCTATTTGTGCATCATCACGTATAATTGCAAATTTAATAAATTTAGCAGTGCAAATTAGGATTTGAACTTTGTCTAAGCTCTTTAATGGAGCCAACAGTTTTTGATATTAATGTGCAAACCATTTATAGTGTGCGGGAATAAATCCACGCTAAGGGTCACCACCCTATATGGACAGAGATGATGGCGGAGAAGCCTTGAGCAACATGCAAGACAAGAGAAAACCTTGGTGAACCGATGACCGAAAGTTGCCAAAAGGATTCCAATACTTAAGTCAGTAAACAAGTTGAAGAAAAAGTGTATGGTGAATAGGCTAGTATTCCATGACATGCCTGGTACCCGTAACCTTTCTTTATAGCGACATAGGAAGCAGTATTCCAAATATAATCAAATTATAGGTTGTGATAGGATAGACCTATTCATCAATCCCCTATATGTTCGAGATAAAATTATACTAGGATGTTGAGTCCTTGTTTGTAAAAAGGGATATGCTCGCTGAGAGGTTTTGTGGTGGGCGACGCCAAGCGATGGGTCAGCTGGCCGTGGGCATCCCAGGAGTGCTGCTTGGTGGCTGTGTGGTGCTTTGGGCGACGCCTCAAGGCTGCTGGGGAGTTGGATGGGCAGATTGGGCGACGCCTTGAGGAGGCTGGCAGATTGGGCGACGCCATGAGGAAGCTAGTGGGTGCCTTGGGCGTTGGCTGTGGTGGTCCCACCGTTCTAGCACTAGGCCTCATTTTTTAGTGTAGTTAAATAGAGAGAAAGCTTATGTCGGAGATGTGGTTTGTTGTGGGCGGCGCCCACTCTGAGCAAACCCATGATGACCGAATCTGATGGAGAGACTGCTTCTTTGTTCCCAAAGGCTGCCCGAATGAGGAACTTGACTTACTCATCTCCACTTTACGTAGATGTTACCAAGAGAGTGATAAAGAAAGGCTATGACTGTGAAGAAGTCACTGAGACTCAGGATTTTAGCAAAGTTTTTATTGGAAAGGTATTGACATTTGAGTTTTTTAGATAGTTAGACCGTTTTTGAATCCAAATTTGACCCCAACTAAATTGTCAATAACCCCTATAATGCTTGGCATGGTACCAAGCCCTTTTTTTTTGGCTCAACGGGGTGTTCAGGTCAGTTTATGTATATTTCAACTAATCTATTTTTTGGTTCGATTAAAGTCAAATCATATACGCCAAGACTAAGATATGCATAAGAGATAAATCCCTCGTGGTACCAAACTCTATACAGTAGTCATTCTCTTCAGTTCTAAATGATGGATGTAACTTCACAATTTTGGTATTTTGCTTACTTCTTGCTACATTTTACGTGTAACTTCGTAAGTTTGGTATTTTTGCTACATTTCAGGTTCCAATAATGCTCCGATCAAGCTATTGTACATTGTATCATAGCTAGGAGAACGATTTAACGGAGGTGGGAGAGTGTCCTTACGATCAAGGTGGCTACTTCATTATCAATGGAAGTGAGAAAGTTTTGATTGCTCAGGAGAAGATGAGTACCAACCATGTCTATGTGTTCAAGAAAAGGCAGCCTAACAAGTATGCTTATGTGGCTTATGTTCGGTCTGTGTCTGAATCCCAAAACAAGTCCCCCAGTGGCATGTTTGTCAGGATGCTCGCTCGGACAAGTGCCAAAGGGTAATTGATATTTTCTTTTGTAGGTGTCAATTTTACTCATTAGCACGCCACAGCACAAACACGAATATAACACGTATATTCTCGCCGATTGCGAAATGGGTAATTAATATTTTTTGGAGGTGTTAATCTTACTATAAACACCAACATGACACAAACCCAAATACAACAAGATTTGAAATTACTAAAATGTCACGACATAACTAGATTAACAGTCTAGGAATTTGTTGAATTGGTTGGTATCCATTTGAAGAGAGTTAGATGTAAATGCAGGGTTCGTCAGGGCAATATAAGGACAGAAATCCCAATAGTAATTGTGTTCCGAGCATTGGGTTTTGTTGCAGATAAAGATATACTAGAACATATCTGTTATGACTTTCGTGATACTCAAATGATGGAGGTACTTCGCCCATCCTTGGAAGTGGCATTTGTGATTCAGAATCAACAGGTACTTTGGTTGATTCTTAATTGAATTTTGATACTACTTCATTGTCCAAGGTACCAGTGGACGGTATCGGGCTCTATGTGCTGTTATTTTTGTGATGCTAAGAGGGAGTATTAAATGGGAATGTTTTCCATTTTCCATCTGTTGTTGTAGGTTGCACTGGACTACATTGGTAAAAGAGGGTCTACCATTGGTGTCACTCGAGACAAGAGGATTAAGTGAGCATTTTGTTGATGGTTTAAGAAAAAATATCAGTTTGATTCATTGTTTTGATTAGATCAGAAATATATAACTGATTCGAAAATGTTCTGAAAAGAGAATGAAAAATTTTAAAATTATGATTCCAAAACATTTTGAAACACTTCAAAATAAATGTTCTGTCATTTGTTTCAGTTTCCATAGAAATCAAAACATATCAATCGTTTTGGTGGAAACCAGAAAAAATTCTGATCCTCAGTTAATTTTGCTACTGTTTTTTCTTTTGCTAATGATTGAAGAACCACTTGCTTGTCTCTTTTGTAGGTAAGCCAAAGAAATCATTCAAAGAGAAATGCTTCCACATGTTGGCACTGGGGAGTACTGTGAAACTAAGAAAGCTTACTATTTCGGGTATGTTTGCCTCTCATTAGCTATTCCTCTGATATAACTGCAGATTCATTTTTTCCGAGAGATGTTAATGTCTGTTACTTCACCAGATACATCATCCATCGGCTTTTACTTTGCGCACTTAACGGAAGCCGGAAGATGACAAGGGACCATTATGCAAATAAGAGGCAGGACCTTGCTGGTTCATTGTTTTTACTAGTTTTGAGTTCAATATTTTTTGTATATACGATTTTTATGCCATTAATTATGTCTCTTTTGTTTTTTTAATATTTTTTAGTTCACCAGTTTTTCACTGCTTCGGGTGGTGGGTTATCAGTGATGGTGGATGCCGGTGATAGGTCGTGGTGGCGGCGATGATAGTTGTTCACTATGTTTAGTTCACTATTTGAGTTCACTGTTTTTGGCTTTACAATGAATTAAGAGTTTCATTGTATTAAAGTTCATTTCTTGTGAAAATTTTGTGAACTATGAATTTCATTCTATTAATATTCATTGTTTTTGGAATTCATAGTTTAAGTTTTTTTCAATATTTTTGAGTTTGATATTTTTCGATGTGTTTTTCAATTCAATTTTTTAATACTTTTGTAGTTCATTGTTTGTAAAAATTTTGTGAATTAGGAATTTCATTATAATAAAATTCACTTCATTGTATTAAGGTTTACTGTCTGTGAAAATTTTGTGAATTTAGAGTTTTATTATATTAAAGTTCACTATTTGTGTTGTTTTTCCTCAATATTTTTGAGTTAACTACTTTTTTACTATTTTGGATGGCTGGTGGTGGTTGGCGGCGATGGTGGGTGGGGTGTGGTTGGCGTCAATGGTGGGTGGGCGGCGGCAGCGGGTGGTGGTGGTGGGGCGGGTGGCAGGAGGTTGGCGGCGATGGCAAGTGTTGGGTAGTGGTGGTGGTGGTAGTGGGTTTTGGATGGTGGTGGTTGACGGCAATGAGTAGCAGCGGTGGGTGGTGGTGGTGTCGATGGACGACGGTGATAGTGGTGGTGGATACCGGTGGTAATGGTGGTGGGTTTTGGGTGGTTGTGGTTGGCGACAATGGGTAACGGTGGTGGGTAGTGCTTTGTGGCAGCGATGGTGATGGTGGGTGGTGTTGGTGACGGTGGCGGTGGCGGTGGTGAAAGATGGTGGTGGGTTGTGGTGAATGGTGATTGTAGAATTAGGATGAAAATGGTAATGGTAATAAACATAAAAATGAAATAATTGTGGAAATTTTTAAATAACCTCCTTCTTAAAAGTATTTCTGTCTAGTTTATTTTATTTTATGAACTATTGGCCTTAAAAGTGTTGAAACTAGATTTAAAGCCAAAAAAATCCCAAAGTATGTACCTCTCACCAAATCTCTCTCCTTTTTATTTTGATTAAACTAGAGAGTGAACAACAATACATTTGTTCCCATCAATACCCTTTCTTTGCTAGCAGTGTCCTGCTTACATTTCAACTGATGGGCAGAGAGCATAAAGAAATGGAGAAGTGGTTTTGATTGATCACAAAGCTACGATGGTTTTACCCTTCCAAGGTGTGTGGATGTATTAGTGTCTACCGTTTGTTTGTGTGATTTAACTAGTATTTGTTCCATAAAACACAGTGGTCCCTCCTTACTCCCGACGACACCACTGCCATCCAACCCAAAAAATCTGGTTATTGGTTTTTTCCGTTTGGTGCAGTGGTTGTGCTTATTAGCTAGATAAACTTTTAATCTTTCTTTTAATCTTTCTGCAAGTGCGGGTGATTGTGGTGATTGGCTAAATTTCATTCTGGGCCTATGACATTTATTGAAATAATGCTACAGCAATACCAATTGAAACTTTTTTTTGCTATATCTATTTTTTTTTTATAGATTTTTATTTTGTTCCTCTTTCCTCTTCCTACTTTCAATTGAGACCTGTTTTATAAATTTAATATTAGTACTTGCATTTAAGTGTGCTCGAAAATTATTGATGAAATGCCTAATAGAGACTTTATCAGATAGAACGGTGCTTATTGACGACTCTCAATTATGTTCTTACCAAGATTTATGTATATGTGTCATTGTAGTGAACTTTCTTTTTGTTTGTACTGATTTGGTGTATCTAAGGTGAAATGATATCATTTACTGGATCATATTCTATTAAGGCTTTGTTTTTCTATCTCCTGCAAGGTAAGTTTTTTATTTAATGTCATTGCTCGGTGGCATAAATCAAAACCTTAACCCAATCTATGCATATGTCAATTTGGGTTACGGCGAATGGGCTTTCTATGGCACCAGCACTTTTCATTCTCTTTGTGGCTCTCTATCCCTTCTCACAAGTCCAAGTTATCCACACAATTGGATCACATAATTGTTCTTTAATTTTTTATTTTTTTTTGTTTCCTATTTTCCCCTTCTGTTTGGGTGAGAGTGTATGTACATTGTAACATTGAAGGGAGCTCTATACACTAGATTGAGAAATTTTTTTTTTTTGGCATGCTCATAGATCTATAGCATCATTTCTTTTTCATTATGATCATATCTCGATTTTTGTTTCCCAATTTTCCAAGAAAGTTTGGATTTCATATTTTTTTGTTTATACCTATTATTGCACCAAAATATGTTCTTATAGACGGAGGAGACTCAATCGACAGATAGTTTTTAAACGATTGTTTATGACGGATTTAATTGTCTTATTTCAAGATTTTATTGGATGAATCTTAAGGGAATAATCACATTGTACAGAGAACAAATAAAAGAGATTTTTTTTATTAATTCAATCGAAATGATTTTTGTTACAAAAAAGACTGAGTTAACAGCCTTGATTACATTTGTAATAACTATTTCCTAAAATTAATCTAAAACTACTCTTAAAAATACCCATGGATCTTGTGGAAATTTAAATATATTCTTCAACTTCTACATTGTGTACCTTTTATAACCACTACCTTCGACAATTCTAACTCTATCGACAATTATCTGACTGGTAATTCCAGATAGTTATTTCTCCTTTTAAAATAAGGTTGTAGCTAATCATTTTTTGTCTTTCTTTGAATTCTGTCTTGTGACCTCCTAATGCCTTAAAATTTTTCAGACACCAATGCATGAAGCATTCTTAAAATTTTATATTTTAGGCTCAAACACCTACAGAACTTATCTGTTGGTGTAATTGTTGGATAATAGTTAGGGTACCATTCGACATGTTTCAGCGACATGTCATGCTTGCACTTTAAGCGCGGTTTTTTCCCTACGATAACCCTTAGTTATTTGCAATTGTACGGGTTTAGATGAAGCCTGCAATTAGAATCAGCATGGTGTTCATTATGCCTCCGAACGTAGGAAATAAAAGCCACCAAGCCATTCAAAATTATCTTTTTTGGTTTTCAGAAAAAGTTTCATCCAATGTGTCTTTAATTGCATCATTTTGATCCTCCCAAATATTGAATATGTTTCTATGTGGTATCTCAAACATACATTATCCAAATTACTCATGATTTATTTATCATAAACTTGTCACGTAATACTTAAATATGGGCAAAAAATAATTTGGGTATTGAGACAAATTAGGTCATCAAAGAAACACAAAATCAAGACCCAATACAAGGAAGCAGTGGCTGAATTTCTGCTATGTGTATTACAATAATTTCAACACAAAATCAAGTAAAACTGGGACAAAAAATCTGCTACAGTACCACACTAATCCACTCAAAAAACACTTCTATATTTCATAAAAAATGATTACAAAATCAAGCAATACAAAGGGAATGGAATTCTAATTTTTCCGGCAAGAAAAAAAAAAAGTAGGCAGTCAAAAAACTCAAAGGGAGCTTCTGCTCCGGAGACACTTGCTGCGTTTCAGGACAGCAACTCCCTATTTTTCCCCTCTGATTTTTCTACCAAAGCCTGTCTTTTTCTTCTATTTTTTTCTGGACAGAATCCTCTCTATTTTGTGGAGCAGTTCTTTGCTTTTTATACTCTGTTTTTCATGCTGTAAACC